ATTGGAAAGAGACTTCAAAGCACATACATCTCATGTAATCACAAAGGTCCTCATTAAAGTCAAGAAAAGTCAGTGACTGGAGAAGCTATGCAGCCCTAAGACAGAAGGGATTGGATTTTCCAGTGAGAATACAAGATTGTAATTAAAAATGATTGAGTAAAAAGATGCTACAAAGATCATCTGTATGTCAGTAACATTAAAATAAGTCTACCTTTTCTTTGTTTAATGTCCAAGGACTTGGTTTCTGTCAAAGTGGCCATTGGTCTATGGGAACTCTTACGGGATTGGGAAAATTCATGTTATTGTACGAGTCATAAACTGTTATGGTCTCAGAGCCACGTCATGTTGTTGTGTGAAACCTGGCCAGCTTCCCACACACCATCCACACAGGATGCATATGCAGCAATCCAAGCTGTATTCCTCAGCTGTCCCATCACTGGGACGCAGCACCTGACACCCATGGCTTAAAGGAGGAGAGGTTTAACTTGGCCCACAGTTCAGGGGGCTCAGTCCATGGTCACCAGCTCCAAGGCAGAAACATGGTGAAAGGTCATGGCAGAGGAGAGCTGCTCACCCAGAGGGGGAGCCTGGAAGCAGGGAAGGAAGGAGTCAGGGAGGGAGATATACCCTGAGAAACACACCCACAGAGATGCACTGCTTCCAACCAGCCCTGTCTCCTCAGCACATTTAACTATGATGAGCACGGTGCTCCCACGGTCCAATCACCTTCCCAAAGCCCCACCTCTGGGCACATGAGACTCTGGGTGGACATCCTGGACCTAAATGATGACAAAAGCCACAGGCGGGCTGTGCTTCCAAAACGAAGCTTAGCGGTTTGGCGCCCATTATGTTAGCAGAGCTTGGGTTCACAGGGGGAGAATTTTTTATGATATGAAAAAGAATCAACATGCAGTGAACACTGCAGAACACTCCAGTAAATAATGCGGGCCAGCGCACATCGAAGGCTTACCCTACAGCAGACGCTTCCATGAAGTGACTCCCCTCCTCCTGACAACCGTCCCGTGAGTGAGCACTGCCATAGCCCCCACCGTGCAGACAAGAAACTGGAGAAGAGCTAGGGAGGGGCAAGGCGTGGACTCGCCCCAGGAAGCCCTGTCCCGAGCCCGGGTCTAACGGGCCTCACCCTTCACTCTGTGAGCAAAAAGAGCAAAGACTCGCTCAGGGCAGATTTCACGGTCCCAGAATTCACTAGAAACTGTGCTCCTTGGAGAACACTGCTGGTTCCCCGGGCTCCGCTAGGTCCATTTTCTTTACTTCCCCTGCTGGTGCCATGTACTTGAGCCACCATCACCCAAATGGTCATTGTTGGAATTGGCTCGTTGATGAACCATCCTCCTTGGTAGAATTGTCCAAGAGAGCAGAGAGCGGGACTGTTTTGCTCATGCTGCAGTCTCAGGACGAGGGACAGGCTAGACACGTGAGAAATGTCTGCTGCCTGGTAAGTAAATAACTCACAGATCTGCCCTTGATCACCAGAGACAGAGAACACATGGCCAGTATAATAGGAAGCACATCGCCATGTGGGAAAACATCGTGTTAGGAAAACTGTTAACCAAAACACAGACAGCAGGTCCACAACAGAGATCAAATACGACATCTGCTAGTGGTTTCGTGTACAGAGGAAAGGGTGACTGCAAAGAGCAAACACACAGCCTGGCCCACTTGCTTGTGGCTAGCATCTACCTACTCTTTCCCCCAGGCTGCCAGCCTTTACTGGGATCTTACTCGGTGCTGTTTCCGGAGGCGGGGTGGAGAGCATGAACTAGAACCAGCCTGACAAGTGCTGGCTGCGAGCCCTGAGGAGAGGAGGACGGGAAACAACCCCATTCTCTTACATCAACATAGAACCCTGCTTCAGTCCATCCAGGATTTTTTTGTGCATGGGGCTTTCCAAAAAGAAGTAGACAACCCCAAAGACTTGGTTGTCTTAGTGTAGCTTGGATCTCTATTTTATCATGGGCTTCTAAGGAGTTCATTTTTTTTGAAACAGGGTCTCACTTTGTAGTTCATGCTGGCCCTGAACACAAGTGATCCTCCTGCCTCAGCCTCCTGAGTGCTGGGATTACAGTACGTGCCACCACACCTGGCACCGGGGAGTATAATTTATCTTTACTCATTTCACTGGGCTGCTCCATCTGGAGACCTGACTTGTATTCTGACTCCTACTTAGTTTACTTGTTTAACACTTTTTTTTGAGATGGGATCTGGCTATGTTGCCCACACTGGTCTCGAGCTCCTGAGTCCAAGTGACCCTCCTACTTCAGCCTCCTAAGTAGCTGGGACTACAGATGCACCACCACCGCACCCAGCCCTTTAACACATTTCTACCAAAGGCTCATTTTATGCCAAGTACTGTATACATCACTGGGACAGCAAAACAGACACCGTTCCACCTCGCAGGGTAGACCAGGGTCCCAGTATTCATAGGCAACTGCAAAAAGTAGCAGGAATCCATGGCTCTTGGATGAAGTTCAAGAGTTTTTTAAATCCCTTAATTGGTAAGCATTAGATTTATACTTTTATGAGCATTGTTCATTGTTTTCAGTAAATTCTTGATCATCCAATGTAATGATTGAGGTGAGACAAAAATACATGCAAAAGTCACCACCAAAGCGTAAACCAACCATTCAACCAAGCTGTTTTGAGGTAGGTGCACCATGTAATTGGGGCCAGGTGGGGGCGGCTATGACGTAGTTACCAAAATATCTGGTTTAGAATTCCTGTGTGGAGACTATTTGAAGAGGATAGCAGTCATCCAGAATAATAGATTGTGTTCTTGCTCTTCATCATCTTCTCCTCCCTCCCTGTGAAATGACATGCGCACACACGTGCACGCATGTATGCACATGCACACACCGGGCTTGGCCACATGGCTTGTTTTGCTGCCTGAAATGTGTGTGGAAATGTTGGTTGCCTCGTCCAAGCAGAAGCTTCCAGGTTTCCAGTGACTCTGCTCTAATCTGTCCCAGCGGGGAGCACCCCTCCGGCCCACATGCCAGCGTGGAAAAGACACAGCACGGAGCTGCCCAGGGCGTAGCTGTGATGTGAACCAGAGGTAAACCTTGGTGGTTGTACGTCACTGAAATTTGGAGGGTTGTTTTCTTAGTGCATATAACCTAGCAAGAGTACGCCAGATCGACTAGTTCCAACACCACTAAACACGATTCAGATAGAAGATTCAGGGGAGATGTAGTATAAACAGAACAAACACGACATCCTATAGCAAGCCAGGAAAGTGAACATAAGAGAAGTTTACGGTCAGGTAGACAAAGGAGTCAATGAGACTTGAAAAATGTTTTAAATAACCGTGGAAAAGCTCAATGTAGTCTGTCTATAGTACACTAAATCCAAGAACAGTAGAATATGCTTTCTTTTTGAGCTCCACGGAATAATTTATGAAAAAAATGATATGTGAGCACATATGGTTTGTGTCTAGTTGTCCCCCCAGGGTCTCATGCAGTCACAGGTGTGGCTTTTTCAGAGATGACTGAATCTAGAGTGTGTGACTGATGGTACAGTGCTGGGATTAAGGGTACTAGGGCTAAAGGTGGGTGATTACTAAATCAGTCCACTGATTGTTTTGGCACCGCCCTAATCCTGTAGCCTGGATATAATATAACAGACAGGAAGAGGCCTGTCTTGCCCCCTGTTTGTTTTCTTTGCTATCTTCTGCCCGCCATGAACTGTTTCTCCTCTGCAATGCCTGTCTGCTGTCCACGCTGCCTTGGAGCCAGCTGACTGTGGACTGAAAACCCTATAGACTGTGAGCTAAATAAACCTTTACCCCCTTTACTCTGGGTGTCAGGTGTTTTGTCTCATCAACGAGAAAAGCAACTGAGACATGTACGAACCATGAAATGCTGTCAACAAAACTCTCTCTGACTGTAATGCAATGAATTTAGAAATCAGCTTTTTAAGTAGAAATAATCATACCTTTAAAAACTGAGAAACTTGCTTCTACATAGTTTGTAGAAGAAATTATAATGTAGATTTTAAAATATTTAGAACTGAACACTATGAATATACGTTAAAATGACCTTAAATGCATTACTGTAAGAGCTAAAAATCAATCACTTAGCAGTTTACCCCGAGCTTCACTTGGGCAGCATCTTTGTTTATGTTCTGACCATCCCAAGCAGTGCTCAGACAGATGTCATTTCAACCAGGTGATTCTTTTTATTCTAATGGAAAAAACCCAAAATTTCAAAACACAATAATAGGAGAATAACAATGGTTAATACATCGTGTTTTGTTATCTTCAGAGTAGTTACTCAGAGTACAAGATATAGGCGTAAAAAATTCTCCAAGTGATACTAGCACAAACCTTTCTTTTCAATGAATTAAGAGAAACTAGTAGTGTAACTAGCTTGTATTCTTTTCTTTTCCATTCCTTCCTTTCCCCTTTCCCCCACCCTAGTTCTTCTTTCCTTCAGAACAATTTCTTCCCAGATGATTCTTGTAGTGAATAAATTTGATAAAATGGCCTTTTTATATACTTCTTGTTATATTATCTTACAAAAATTACCAAAACTTATGTAATTTTTGGTCATCTTGTATTTAAATAATTGTGCTTGTAAGTGGCTAACTAAGCATTCAATTTTGTAAGTTAAGGGGCCGGGGATGTAGCTCAGTGGCATAAGCGCCTGCTTGGCAAGTGCAGGGTCGTGAATTTGATCCCTGGTACCGCAAAAAAAAACAAAACAAAACAAAATCAATTTTGTAAGTTAGAAAAAGAACAAAGCAAACTCAAAGAAAATGTAAAGAAAGAAAACACAGAAGCAGAAATTCACAAAACACTGAAAATAAGAATTGGATCTTTTAAAAGACTGGTGACATTGACAAATCTCTGAAAAGATCAATTAAGAAAAAAGACTAAACAAAAATAAGTACTATTAGGATCATAAGCTAAATTTTAAAGAGAAACAAGAGGATATTATGAACAACTTTCAAATTACAAACACTTAGAAAATATAACTTACCAAAAGTAACTCCAGATGAAATTAAAACTTTAATGGTCATAACCTTAAAAGAAGTTGATTGGGCCGGGGATGTAGCTCAGCGGCACAAGCACTTGCCTGGCAAGCCCAAGGTCTTGAGTTTGATTCCTGGTGCCAAAAAAAAAGAAGTTGATTAATTAATCAAAAATCTTCGCACAAAAAATACCTTGTTCATACAGTTTAATGGAGAGATTTTATTAAATATTTAAGGAACAAGTAAATTCAATCTTAAATTCAAGGGCAGAGAAAGAGAAAACACTTTCTAGCTGTTTTATAACATCAGTGTAGGTATAACATACATCAAAGACAGGCCAGGATAATACACAAATGAAATAATATAGGTCAATTTCAACAATGATCACATGTCTAGTAAAATACCCTAGACAAAATATTAGCAAACTGATTCTAGCATAGTTTAAGTTGGCTTTATTCTAAGAATTCAACATTGGTTCACCTTTTGAAAACATTGTATCAGAGCAATGTAATTTTCAAAATATGACCACCATAGCTGAGGCCACAAATAATTTAATGACACTGAATATCAAATCATGATTTCAAAAAATTATTTGCAACAAAATAGAAATAGAAGAAAGCTCTATCCTGATAAAGATTATCTTGATAAAAGAAGTTATAGCAAAATCATGCTTACCAGTGAAATATAAAAATAATAAATACTGTTTAGATGAGATACAAGACTTGATTTAGCATTGTACTAGAAGTCCTAGCCAACAAAGCAAGATAACAAAAGTAAATGCAGAAATATATATCAATTATGTTATATGATGTATATTATATATTATCCCAACAATATAATGTGAGTGGTGTGTGTGTGTGTAATCTGGTAAATTGGTTCAACACATTATGTGAAATACCAAACCAATACACTCATTACAGAGCACAATGAGGTATACACTTATTTACCCTACCAGACAATAATCAAGATAAGCTGACTAATGAAACAGGATAAATCATCCTGGAAAAGACTAACACAGATGGAAACTTGATTTGTTACAGAGAAATTACTTACTGCAGGTCACAAACTACCCCAGAACAGGATAAAGTTGTATAATTCTCCAACCATTCCCCAACCACTAGTCACCACCTCTCCGCTCTCTGCACCTAGGTGCTGTATTTTTTAGCTCCCACAGGTAAGGGAGAACCTGCAGTGCTTGTCTGCGTGTGGCTCTATATTCTTTACATAGAATACTACCACAGGAAGGAAAAGGAACGAACCTGACTTCCTTTCCAAAGTGTAAGATGAGCAACAAAACCAAGCCACAGAAGACTAGATTCTGTATTGTCTAACTTACATAAAGGTCAAAACTACAGAAAACTAAGCAACACAGGGACTGATATATAATCGAATCTTAAAGAAAAATAAGGGAATAACGAGCATAAAGTTGAGAGCCGTCCTTTGGGAGGAGGGAAGCAGGAGGCACATACTCCCACGGCTTGAGCCGCTGGTGGTACACGTGTGACTGGCCCCTGCCGCCTGCTGATAGCACAGTCACGCAGGTGCCACCAGTGGTTGAAAGCCGGGGTCAGCGAGATGCACAAATTACAGCCCCGTCACAGACACGTTAAACTGGGCTTTGCAGAAATAGGTGTGGATGTAAAGTGACCAATTCAAAAGCAAATAGCCAAATCTGAGTGACCACAGCCTGGGACACCATTCAAGTCATCCTGAACGACACGTTCTGCTGTGGAAGACGTTTGTCTTAGTTACTTTCTCAACGCTGAGGCAGGGTACCTGACACCCACAGCTTAAAGAAGGAAAGGCTCATTTTGGAGCACAGTTACAGCCCGCGATCACGTGGCTCCAAGGCAGGGCAGCAGCGCAACATGGCAGAGGAAGATCACTACGCCTAAGAGCAACTTGGGTTTATTTTTCAACTATCTGGTTTTCACCAGTAATTCTTCCTCCCTGACTTTGTGGCAGAATTTAAGGATAGGGAAGACAAAGCATGTGGCTATCTGAAAGAAGCTTCCAGAACTGAGAGTAGAACAGAGAGAGAAAAATAAATTGATCTTTGTCCCAGAATGTCAAAAATGCATCAGAAAGGCAAGTGTTGTGGCTTGTGACCTACCTAGAGGTCCCCTCAGAACCTCACGTCTCATCGGTGGGGTTTTTGAGAGGTGGCTGGATCGTGGCTGTGTGATACTGAGGTTGAGGGTGTGTGACACTGAAATAGGTGTAGCATAGTTCTGAGTGTGGATACGGGAAGCCCCGCCCTGGGTGTGGGTGACACTAATCAATAGGCTTAAAGCCCAGATGGAACATAAAGGACAGAAGGGAGGCAGGCTCACTGCTGCTGCTTGCTGCTTCCCTGCTTCCTGCCTGTCCTGCCATGAGCTGTTTCTCCTCTGCGAGGCCCCTGTGCCACACCACCCTGCCTTGGAGCCAGCTGACTATGGCCTGAAACCGCTATAAACTGTGAGCCAGAATAAACCTCTCTCCCTTTAACATTGGGTGTCGGGTATTTTGTGTCAGCAAGGAGAAAAGTAACTAAGACAGCAGCAGTGCATTGCCTCTAGTGGCCTGTGATCGCTGTGCAAGGCATTCAGTGCCCTCCTACCGTCACCTCCCGAGCCTCCCTCTCCCCTCACGTTCAGCCTCTGTAGTAAAGAAAGCGATGGCTGTGCAGGCTGGCTGGGGCAGAGGTCCCACATTGCCTTTACTTTTCATATTCGTTCCCTTTTTTCCATCTTTACCCCCACTCACCTCAATCTTGCCTGGTGAGCTTTTCCTGCCTGACCTAGACCCCAGAAGTCAGTCTTCCACCCTGCTGCCAGAGATGTCTCTGCTTGTAAAAATAAGTCGGTCCCCTGCTTAAAGCCTTATTAACTCCTTTCCCACCGGGCAGTGTCCAGGGTCCTTGCCCTATGCGCAGGATGTTTTCTGAACCTGCTTCAGCCAACCATCCTGTTCCTCTCCTGTTCCTCTCCTGTTCTTCTCCTGTGCCTGTGCTTCAGCCTCAGCGAACTGACACTTCTCACTTCCTGTGTTATGGAAGAAAAAGTACTTAATGGCACTTGTAAGAACAGATGTCTTAGTCACTTCCTTGTTGCTGAGACACAGTACCCAACACCCACAGCTGAGAGGAGGAGAGGCTGTTTTGGCTGTTTTTTTGGTTATCTCCCCAGAAGAAACAACATGGCAGAGGGGGCAGCAGAGGAGCACAGGGAGGGCCAGGGAAGCAGAAGACCCACCTCTTCCATCACCTCCAGAAGCCCCGCCTCTGAGCACATGAGGCTTTTGAGACATCTGGATACAAACCACAATGACAGAGGAGGGACGACTTTCTTCAGGACCCTCCAAGAGGGATGGGGAAGCCCAGCAATGGAGGTGTGCAGTGGGGAAGAGAGACTGGGCTCAATTCCAAATACAGCACAGACAAGTAGGAATGTATAGCTAAGAAGCAGGGTTGGGGGTTGTGGATAAAAAAAAATCACTGAGGAGAATTTCCCTGAAACCCACGTAAAGAGAGCCAGGGGAATGAGAGATCAGCTGGCAGAGGCTGGAGGGTGAGGAACATGGTCAGCTGTCAGAGACAGACAGCATCCTTGCTGACCTGACCTGTCCAGGTTCTTGTTACAGCAGGTTTCACAAGGATGTGCACAGGCGGACCTAGGTTAAAGTCTGGTGGGCGAAGGATCTTAGTGAGCGTGTGCTATGCCCTATGTCTTTGCACACACTCCCTCTGCCTCAGCTGTCCCTCCTGCACTTTTACCAAAGCGCCTGATTTCCTACACATTCTCCAAGCCCAAGCTCAAAGGTTGGCAAGAGCCTTCCACATTGTCACTGGCGGAATCTCTGTCCAACCAGAGCACCTGCCACTTTTCATAGGAAGGTTAGGAAACAGGGGTGTTAAGTATACTGGTCACATTTTCCAGTAATATGCTCTGTAAGGCTTTCTTCAATCTCGACACCTTTCCAGGAAAAGTGCTGCAGATTTAAAGCACAGCTTGGTATTTAACCTAACACCTCTGACTATGCCAAAATCAGAAAACATAAGAAAAATAGGTATCATTTTCTGCCTGCCTGTCTTCTTCAACAGAGCCATGCATTCCTGAAGGAAACATATTTTATGCTTTCTTATACTACCAGTTACTAACAGAAGTTTCAACACACAACAGTGAAGAAATAAGTGCCTGAAAAAGGAATAAAAGAATATATAAGTTCATCCCGGTACCGGAGAAAAACCAAAAAAAAAAAAAAAAAAAAAAAAAAAAAAAAAAGAATATATAAGTTCAGAAAAACAATAAGCAATATATTTTCTTTACAAATACTTAAGATATTCTTCTGTTATGGGTCAGAAATAAGAGTATATAATAATAAGCAATGCCCAAAATATTGTGATCTGACTTTATTAAAAAGGGTCAAGATTACTGATGTTGTCCCAGAATGATCACAGTGTAATGAATGCTTGACAACGTTTTAAAACGTGTATATCTCCTTTAGCTCAGCGGCACAGCACCTGTCTGGCAAGCACAAGGTCATGAGTTTGATTTCCGGCACCGGAAAAAAAAAAACCCAAAAAATTAAATAAATAAATAAATAAATAATACAAAAATAAAACGTGTATATCTCTTTATGATCAATCTTACATGTCTATATTTGTTTATCTGAGTATCCAAATTAAAGATATCAATATGTAATACAACAACCATTGTTAATTTCCTATCACCTTGTCTGAGATTCTGTATGGTTGTATTGTTTTTCTGTTATTTTCTAAATGTATGTGTGTTTGTTAAGATGTTTTCATTCTTTTATCTTTAAAATAAAAATAAATAAAAAACAATAAAATGTGTACATCATGGCCATATGGGCTGTGCAATGCCAGGGTAGATGGCTTTCTGCACTTGAGCAGTTATCTGTTTCTTTGCCTGAAATTTCTCCTACAAACTCTACCAAGTTCCAAATCATACTTCATGTTCAGATCCTTTTCTTCTGCAAATAAATTATTTAATATTTAAGTGAACTCATGATAGAACAATAGATATTCAACAAAATACATTCAACTGACCTGAGGTAAGCAATTACCACAGGTAAGCAGTTAAAGACATACGTAGTAAGTAAAATTTAACTTTGTCCAAAAAACTTTAACTAGTCTCAAGTGTGTCTGCTAGAACCTTCGGATTCAGGACTTCTCTCGGTCAGCCGAGTCCTCCTAAGTCTAAGTTTTCTTGGTGGTTCTCAGGAATCTCTAGAGCCACCTCCTCATCTTGCTGTTGACCCCATCCTGAGAGCAAGGGCCCATGCTTTCCACACACTGGCATCCCTGAATTCTGATCCTGGCTTCTCCAGGGACCGTGAGATCTTGTGAAGTCACTTGAATTCTTTGTATTTCAGTTCTGTCACTTTTAAATGGGGAAAACAATATTTACCCAGAAAGATTATTGTGAGAGCAAACCACAGTCAGGTACTACAGACCCTCTGGGCTATTTGTCACCCCAAGCCCCTCTTCCGTGGAATCACATGGGGGGCTTGAAGCCCAAGATTCCTTTCTTCTGCTCAGTGCCCTTAACCAACGCCTGGGCAGGGAAGTGGGGGAAGGGGAGGCGGGAGAAGGTGCACACTGGGTCTCACTGCATTTTCATCCCGCCCTACATGTGTGGTGGGCAGAGCAACCCGGGACACTGCCTCTTGTACAATGTGGGTGGGCCTTGGAGTGGGTCTGGCATTGCAGCGCCCGAAGGGAAAACTCAGGAGGGGACCTTGTCTGATCACATGGGCTATATATATTTGTATGTGTTTATTTTGCACGAGGCCTTTAAAAGCTCAGAGTTAGCCTCCATAGCCTATAATCCCAGCACTATGGGAGGCTGAGGCAGGATGGCACACCTGAGTCCAAGCTGGGCCACTTAGTGATTCAGTGAGACCCCATCTCAAAATTAAAAAATAAAAAATGGGCTGGGGTTGTAACTCGGTGTGAAGGTCCTGAGTTCAATCCCTAGTACTGCTAAATAAAAGAAATTCAAAAACTAACTACATAACTCTGGGAGTTCTTCCCAGCTGGTAGCAGAAAAGAAGCTCTGAGGAGAGCGGGCTGTGAGATAAGAGTGGGCAGGGTGAGCTGCCAGCCTGTGCTCATCAGCAGGGCAGTGCGCTCCGCCCCACACACGCTCTGATCGGCTCTGACCCAGCTGCCGTCTTTTCAGGCTGGAGAAAAGGAATGAGAGGTGTCTTCAGAAGCGAAGGCGTTTTCAGGTGGAAGGAAAGCAAAAGCAGAAAGGGATGCAGAGCACCTCGTCCTCGGGAGGCCGTGTGCTCAGCGGGAGCTGAAGGGAGCCGGGCCTAAGCAGACGGCCTTAGAGGAAGCTTGGAGGACACCAGGCCCAGGCACCCCCGGACCCTCGGGAAACACCCTCGGCCACCTAGGGGTTGCAATCCAAGAAAGCACCGGCAGGCAGCCTGGACAGACTGGGCAGAATGGGCACGCCGGAGCTGGGTGGCAGCAGGGTGGGTCTTCTCCAAGCGCCTGTGAAGACACAGGAAACCGAAGAAGAGGGTGTGAGCCGTGCCTTGGGCGCAGTAATGAGGGTGAAATAACCAGGGTGAGTAGCAGCGGGGAAGCGGGGGCAGGTGCAGCTGCCCACAGTACCCCTCACCTAGCAGACGTGGGGGCCCTTCTGGAAAGCGCTCCACGCTGGGGTGCTGTTCAGCAGGCTTTTCCGAAGGGGTACTTCTAATCTAAGCTGCGCTTCCCTGGAGACAGCGTTTCACAAGCCCATCGCCAAGTCCTCTCCCCGGCCTCCGCATCTGCCCTGTCCATTGGAGCAGGAAGCCCTGTCTGCCCACCACACCCACTTCCCACCTCAGTGCCCACACTCTCCCTGTCACTGTTTCCCGGGAAGGAGGGTTATGCTGAAGTTTGACATCAGCCACAATCGGCCAGATCTGTTTGCTTTGGCTTTGGCTTTGGCCTTTGGAAAGTGGAGTAACAGGCCACTAACTTTCATGGCTGTCCTGGCCTCCCGGAACATGAATACGATCCATGGACAAGGGACCACAGTGCTATTATCGAATCTTAACTAGCACTGCAATGTCAAAAATGGACTAAGGTCATTCACAACCATTATTAGTACCTGCATATGAGCTTTGAAATACAGGAAAACATTTTAGATATAACAGAGGGGGAAAAATACATATTTGTGTATTTTCAAAGAAAATCATATTTGTGTACTTTGGACTTTGATTCCTATCACTCAGTTCAAGTACAAATGTATATTTTTAATTTATGAGAGTAAAATGCTAGAATAGTTAATGATTGTGAAAACTCTCCATGTTATTAAAAAAAGAAAAAAGAAATCTGTAATACATAGAGATAACATTCAACAGAAAAACTTAGGAAAAATACTATATCCTTTTTGAACCAACAAAGCTTTATAAGTTTAAATAATGTAAGGCAGGCTAGATGTGGTGGTACACACCTGTAATTCCGGCCACCTGGGAGGCTAAGGTAGGAGAATCACAAATTCAAGCCCAATCTGGGCAATTTAGCAATTTAGCAAGATCTTGTCTCAAAATCGAAAATAAATAGGAGGTCTTGGGGGTGTACCTCAGTGAAAAGGCCACGGGTTCAATTGCAAGTACTGAAAAAAATTTAAAAGGCAGAATAACAGAAGTTAGATTTTATCATAATTCCAATCTTTATAGAAGTATTTGGCATTTTAACGGTCATAACAGTAAACAAAATAACCTCTAAGTCTGTATTTGCTTTTTAGTTGTTTCATTCTGATTACACTGTGCATTAGGTTCTGTTTTCAGCACATAATTAGCACATAACCTAATGAAGTTGGATTACTGTAAACAGAAAGATAAGAGACACTTTCATCATTTTTCTTCAGCCAAAGAAAAACCACAAGGCAGACAAAGGATTTTGGAATTGCTTTGTCACGGACTTCTACAAGATGTTCAAACCAGACAAAATATCAGCCATTCCGTTTTTAAAAGGCTGCCTGACAGAGAGAGAGAGAGAGAGACAGAGAGAGAGAGAGAGGGAGAGGGCCTTTAATGTGGCAGGTGGCAGATTAAAATACCATTACAGCAGGGCTTGCCAACTGCCAGAGACTGCCTGCAGAGAAAGTGGCCTGTGGGCCGGACCGGCTCAGAAAAAGCCAAAACGCTGTCCCCTGAGAGAGGAAGCTTTAAGTATCTATAGAGATACCCCATCGAGTGCTGTCAGGGATAACGCTAACATCGGTGTGCAGGCCGTAAAAGCAAGGTCGTGGATGGAAACCCAGAGAACGGTTACCTTGGATCCAGCTAAACTGGCCCATGGCCACATTTCTGGGCCCAAGATTAAGAACCAATTTTTTTCAAGTGTGGTAGGAGGCAGCAGGAACCTGCAAGAGTGTTAAGAGTAAACATGGAAATCATTTGCTGTCTGCTTCAGAAAAAAAGAAAATAGTATTCAGTTAATGCACGGAGCTTGTATTTGCAAAATTGCCTCAAAAAATTGTGTGCTCACTGGTAAACAAATCTTCATCCGGGAGTTGAGCAAGAGTCTTTATCAGTGTGTAGCAGAGAAAGGAAGACTTACCGACTCACTGGCCGCAACTCCATCCTGCTTAGGTGGTCAGTGAGGCTGCCTGGCCAGCGGGGACCTCAGGGGTCCTTCTCCAAGCGGCTTTCACCACCCGTCAGGCTAGCCTGGGCCTGGCCACATGGCGTAGTCACAGGGATCCAAGAGAAACCAGGCAGCAAGATGACCTCACCGCCGAAATAGCTCCTACCACGCTCTCCTTTGCCCTTCCAGCCTCCAAACCCAAGGAAACCACTTTAGCATGTGCTCAGCTTTCTTGAACACACAACGACTGATCATGTGATTTGAACACCAGCAACTTCTGCTGTGAATATACAACAGTTCTGGCAGTTGCGCTACCAACTGAGCTGGTAGCTACTGTCCCCGGCCAGTCCCGGAGGCCCTCCCACAGGGCAGCCTTGGGTCACAGCTTCAGGGAAACACTGCAGTGTGGAATCCAAGAGTGGTCAGTGCTCAGGGTCCTGGGGTCCATAGCTGCCCGGACCCCGCAGACACAGAGGTTGGGGAGTGCAGGCTGGGAAGGGGTTGGGGAACTGGTGCCGGGCAGTTGTCCAGACTGGGCTCCGACCTCGAGTAGAGAACCTGGCCTGGAAGCTTCTGAGTTTCGCAGCCAGTTGTGGACGTCCCGGTCTCCTTAGGTTTACGTTGAGCTGGTTTTGACTTTTTCCCTCCACACCCTTCATCCCCTCTTCCCAGTTCTGGCCAGGGGTCCAAGCAGCTTGGAAGCAGAGCAGGGACTGGCCTGTTTGTCACTGTCCTCCTGTGGCCCCCACACCTTGCCCTGACACTCTCGAAGGACCCGGGCCCATGCAGCCCCTCTTGCAGGCGGAGGTCCGTGCAGGACCACTGTCCCCCAGCTCAGTGCTGGGCCTCCCCTGGGGCCTCCGGAAGTCGGCCCTCTGCTTTCTTGGAAACTGACCCACTCTGTGGTCATTGTGTTGTAATTGGTGGGTTCTTCGGGAATTGGGTGGGGGGTGCTCCGTGATTAGAGAGACCGGTTGTTACCACCAGGGGGTGTCACACAACAAAAGTGTAATGACGGCCCTGCTTGCCACCCCGGAGCATCCTGCAGGAAAGACTGGCTCAAGGCAAGACGCAGCAATACCCCGACACCAGGAGCTTCAGAGGCAAAGCTTGCTAACAAAAATGGATGCCAGTCACAAACATAACTGAAAATTTCCTAATAGCTATATTTTTAAAAAAAAGAGACACAGGAACAGGTGAAGTTAATCTTTTGATTTATTTACTTTGACTTTATTGTAACAAAAATAAAATTACAGTACTAATAACCTCACAAATGTAGAAGCTAATGAGTTATTTTAAGATGAGCACCTGGGTAATTACCACCCAGGTCAAAAAGAAAGACTTGGGTAGGCATGGTAGCACATAGCTGTAATCCCAGCACTCATGAGGCTGAGGCAGAAGGACTGCTACAAGTTTGAGACCAGCCTGGACTACAGAGTAAGACCTGTCTCCACAAAAAAAAAAAAAAAAAAAAAAACTTAGCTGACTACCTCAGAGCTCTCTTCATGTGCCCTGGCTCAACCCCTACCTATATCTGACTTCTGCATGTTAACAATTTTTGGCTTCTGATTTTTATATGAATAAATATTGGTTGATTGACTGATTGATTGCTGTATGGGAATTAAGCACCAGTCTCCCACATGCAAGGCAAGGGCTCTACCATTGAGCTACATCCCCAGTGCTTTTTATTTTGAGACATGATATTACTTCATCGCTCAGGTTGGCCTCAAACTTACAATCCTCCTGCCTCAGCTTCCTGAGTAACTTCAATCACAAGCATGCACCCCTACACCCAGGTAGACATTTAAAAAAAAAAAAAGAGTTTTAGATTTACAGTGGGAAAGATAGCAGTGCGGAGGGTTCCCACACACTCCCACAAGCAACCTCAGTTTCCCTGTTGTTCACATCTTAAACAGTGATACATGTTATAATTAACCAGTTGATATTGATATATTGTCAGCGTGTCAACTGAAGTCTACAACTGTATTCCCATTTCCTTGGTTTCTGCCCATCTTCCTCCAGTTCCAGGCCACATTACATTTAGTTTTCCTGCATCCTTGGGCTCCTCTCTGCTGCAATAATTTCTGACCCTCCTGAGTTTTGATGATGTTGACATTTTTCAAAGATTATTCACCAAGCATATTATAGAATGTTCCTCCACTAGAATTTGATGTTTTCCCCCTGACTGGAGTGGAACTATGGGTATTTGTGGTGACCACAGGAGTAAAGTGCCATTTATTACAGCATATCAAGGACTGTGGTAGACCAGAAAGGAAGATTAAGACCTAATTGACCTCGTCTGTGAGCACGAAGGAGAAAGGCATCTCACGGGGATGATGGCATGCTGCAGTTCTGGGGAAGGCTAATACAGCCGAGATTAAATTGTTTCCTGAGCATGCACCAATGGATAACATGAGGCAGATGAATCTTGCATTACTTTACTTGTTTGTGCCCTTGTCTGGGTGAATAAAAGCAGGATGAGCCAGAGGCTCCAGGCTCCTCTGCCTAGAGGCAAGAGCCCCTTGGCTGCCTACGCGTTAAACTAAGTGACTTTTTGTCATTCATCCTCATCACCCCTGGGTCAGGGGAACAGACTAGTAGCAGAACTAGGTCCCTACAAGCAGTACCTTGGGTGGGGGAAGCTCAGAGGGGTGGGCTGGTTCCCCATGGGTGGCACCTGGGAAGGAGACCTGAGATCAGCAGAGCAGGAAGGTCTCCTACAAAGGATGTTGACCTTGACCGTACTGGCTGAAGGTGAAACTAATTTTAGTAATAGATTTACTTCCGCAATACTACCTAAAATATCTGAACCTATAATCAATATAATAAGTACCAATGAGATACAGTATTTTACTTTTCTTACACTAAGACATTAAAATCAAATGTGCTTTATGCTCAGTAGCTGCACGTGGTGCTGGCTACCACTCAAAATACTGCAGTTCTAGGAGCACGCGCTCACTCCTTTGAGGTCCCGGTGTATGAGTGTTTGATCAGAATTCTGCTACACGATCCTAGCTAGTCCAGGGGTCTTGGAGAAGTAACATTTTGGTATCTCGTCAACTTCCTCTTCTCTTTGTGGGCCCCCAACATTTCCTTGCCCATGGGAACTTTGAATAAATAGAGGGACAAGTGTCACAGTGGCTCAATAGAAATGGCCCAAAAACCTATTTGGTGTGTGCTTCTGTGCATGCGTGCATGCTGCGTGTGTGTGTGTGTGTGTGTGTGTGTGTGTGTGTGTGTGTGTGCATTGTCCTACCTAAAAACCAAGAGCCTGGGCACTGAGCTCCATTCTTCCAAGTGCCCACTTCCCTCTGGGCAGTTGAAGAGGCCCAGTTTGTTTGAGGGGATAAGTCTTATGGTGACTATTAAGAAACAAGAAGGATTTTTTGAAAGGGGTGAGAAAATAAAATATTTTAGTTAGTATTTTACAATATTACCTTGTCCCACTCATTGATAGCCCATAAAAATATAGCTCTTTAGAAGCTGCAGTGAAAGCAGGAACACAAACATACCTCCTTATGGTTCATCTTGACTGTCAACTTGATTGGATTGAGAAATGATAGATTTCCGTCAGCGCAGAAAGTAATAAAACAATAAAATGTCTTTATTGTGGGCACAGAGAAAACCACAGCGGGGAGGGGTAAGGAGGTCATGCATCTTCTGAGGGGCCTGGCTGGGAGAACAATGGTTAAATATTGCCAGGCTGGAGGCGAGGTTTAGGGGGTGGACCAGCTGACGTGGCATGCCAGCATTGGGTGTGAGTGTGGGAAAATGAAGCAGGACACTACAAAGGGGAGTAAGAAGGTCGTAATTTAACCCAGATGAAGAAGGGTGGAGCTCAGCACATGGCCTCTAGTGGCCAGTGCCATATAGGCCATGGCACATAGCCTCCAGTAGGTGGCGCCACAGAGACCCTAAAGGAATTATAATGAGAGAAGGAACCCAACAAGAAGCAGCCAGGGAATTTGTAAGGTGCACTTGTGGGTGGGGGGCGGGGGTGGGGATTGTCTCAGGGATGATTGGCAGGTGGGACAGCAAATAGAGAGGGGAGACCCGCCCTGCATGTGGGTGGTGCTATCCAATAGTCTGGGGGCTGATTGGAACAAAAGTGGAAGAAGGAAGAACTCCCAGCAAGGCTCTCCCCCGTTTCCCTCTCTGTTTGCTGGCTGCCATAAGGTGAGCAGCTTTCTTTTGCCTGCTTCACAGGCCTGAAACAATGGAGCCCACACATGGCAGCCTCCGAAACCATGAGCCACAGTAAACTTCCCTCCTTTAAATTGTTCATCTGTTACCATGTTCCACTCACAGAAAGCTGTCTCAGGCTCACCTTCATGATGCATCAGTCAGCTTTGTCACTGTAACAAAACATGTGAGATAAGCAACTTAATAAGGGAAAAGGTTGACTTTGGCTCACAGACTCAGAGGGTCCAGTCCATGGTCGCTTGGCTGTTTTATTAGGCTGTGGCAGCACAGTGCATCATGGTGCAGTACATCATGCAGAGGCCGGAGTGTGTGGCAGGAAGCAGAGAGTAGAAGGGCTGGCGTCTCAATGTCACTTTCAAGGACTGTGTGAGACCCTTAAGTGCCTCTTAGGAAGCCCCACCAATTAAAGGTTACGTATCTCCCACAGCCTGGAAACTGGACCTTGAGCTCCTTGGGTGGCACTTTCTCAAACCAAAGCAGTGAGCCTGCTCTCTGCAGTGGGCTCTGTAGGAAAGTACACATCACTGTCTTTCGGGAAAGTGGCTCTTCCTGTACAATCTTGCAATTTCCCTCATTTGTAAGTCAGTACTTGACTTCAAACTCACAAATGTTTTGTTTTTAAAGATGTTCTCAAATGCTATGCAATTTCGTTTCAGCCTATGCAATTTCGTTTCAGCCTATGCAATTTTGTCATTGCTTAGTTTCCTGGCGAGTTCCCTGAGCCTATTGAATTCATATTGTAGCTAACATAAATTACATTTAAACTGAAAATTACAGGAAACAATACTTTTACATTATTTAAGGGAGTCCTCAGCATAGAAAGCTATCACAAATGCGTTCCTTACCCATAAGGGTCCCCTTAGGGAGAACGGATCTTGCTGAATTGCTTTCCTGGTCTCAGCCAATCTCCTTCTCCTCCACTCTCTTAAATGCTTGGATTCGCATCATATCCAGGAACTTTTCCCCTTTTGCCAGTCTTGCTAATAAAAACTACAGTGGTGCCTCGGTTCGCAGACT